AGAACAGAACAGAACAGAACAGAACAGAATAGAATAGAATTCTTTATTGGCCACGTGTGGCTGGACACACAAGGAACTTGTCTCTGGTGCATAAGCTTTCAGTGTACATACAAACAATAAAATGGTAAGTCATAGATCATAAATCATAACACAATCATAAATCATAAAATACAAACAGGAAGTGGTAAATCATAAGATACCACTAGAAGAAGGTAGTAGGAAAGATAAAAAGGATAATAACAATACAGCCCTACTACATGGTTAGATATCTTTAGACACAGGACAGTGCTGTGGGAATGAGGTGTTTAGCAGAATGATGGCATGGGGGGGAAACTTTGTGTCTTTTTGTGTCTGGTTGTTTTGGCATGCAATGTCCCATAGCAACGTCCTGAGAGAAGGACTTGAAACCAATTTTGTCCAGGACGTGAAGGATCTGTAGATCCTTTCTCAGCCCTCTTTCTGGCTTGTGCAGTATACAGGTCCTATGTGGAAGGGAGGCTGGCTGCAGTTAAGTACCACATTGGAAAATCCAGAAGCATTAGTATAGCTTTTGTTTAAATTCCAGTTTGGGAATCAGGTTTGAACTGACTGGTTCCAAAACAGTCTCTTTCTGGAAACCACACTTACCTTGGAGTTCGGCTGAGCCATTCCATACACGGGCATTTTAGGAACCCTCCGGAAGTTGGCCACATTCATGTCTTTGATGGTACTAAGAACATCTGGAGAAAACCGTTCATCCACAACCTACAGCAGTGATAAACTTATGAAGCCTTTGTTTATTGTTACGTATAAACTGAACATTTTTTATTTCTATCGTGGAAAAGTTTTCTTTCATCCAATGCAAATTCCAAAGGAAGGACAGCAATAACTATGGTTACATCAAAGAAAGAAAAAACCCTGTTGTTTTGAGATACACAAGCTTACTGTGTTTGCTGCAAATAATAATGGAAGAAATAAGCTATATGTGCAGTTTGCTGAACCTTTACATTAAAAAACAAAACAAAACTGCTTTTCTTATAAATGCAAGGGAGAATCTTAAGAACTTGACTTTAGAGATTACAAATTAATTTCAAGGCAACTGAGAGGAACAAACAGTCCTAGCTCTGAACTAAACTCAACCTCAGAAACAAGAATATTGCTATAATAGTCTATTAACTGAACTATCTGACACAATGACTCTCAGGCTGTGAAAGGAACTCTGAGAAAGAAATCCAAAGATTTAAGAAGATACAACACAGGGCACTCACCAGGACCCGTATTCCTTTAGTTATGTGTTCCGCTGTGATTGTAAGTTCTGACAGATTCATGTTGGCTTGAAGTCTATACAGCTCAGGGTGCCTGCAGATCCATCGACTGAAATTGAGAGCAAAAGCCAGGGGATACTGCCAGCACAGAAGAAAACAGAAAAGGACAATTTCAGGAACAGGGGGTGATCCCAAGAATTGTACTTGTCATCACTTCAACTCAACAAAAGATCTGGTTTTCAGGCCACAGAGGTGCATTTATTCCTTCTTTCCTCCCTCCCTCCCTCCCTCCCTCCCTCCCTTCCTTCCTTCCTTCCTTTGGTTACTATAGTTCCCATTTCAGTCACTGATTCTGATTGCAATTCAAATTATATGCTATAGTTAAAACAACAGAAAACAATAAAGACAGCCAAAACAAATATACAAAGCAACTGAGATACTTGGCCAGTTACCGGGGTGGAATGCTACTGGTTCTGCCCGGTTCTATAGAACCGGTAGCTCTGAAGAGCAGCAGACACAGAGCCAGTTCTGTGTTTGCTGCTGTTTGGCCCACCTGCCCTCCTGGGCTCTTACCTGTCCTTTATTTCCTGCTTTTTCAACCTCAGCTGCTTTGCGTGGCATAGCTGAGGTTGAAAAAGCAGGAAAAAAGTGGCTTTTCAAGCGCTGTGCACCTGCGCGCTGCGCTTTTCAGCTCTCTGGGCGGCACAGCTTAAGGTTTTTTACACACACACGTGTGTGCGAAGCGCGTATGTGCACGCAAAACATAGCCACCGAACCGGTAGTAACACCGGTTGAATCCTACCCCTGGCCAGTTAGCAATACATCCAGGAAATGGGGCCCTTCAGCACCTCAGGCTGTTAACATAGCCAGATATTTAGGACCTTATAAAAGGCTAACAGGGTTGGGGCCATGCTGATCTCCAAAGGGAAGATGTTCCATAGAGCAAGGGTCACAGTGGGAAAAGCTCCTCTTCTAGTCCATGCCAGCTGACACTCTTTGGTTGACAAATCTTCAGCAGTCCATTCTGCTAGATCTAATTGGATGGTTAGAGATTCTTGGGAAAAGGTGATAACTCAGGAAATCCGGTCCCAAGCCATGTAGGGCTTTAAAGGTGAAAACCAACATCATGAATTGCACCTGGAAACATACTGGTAGCATATTGCCTTCCATGTCCATTCATCTAACTTCTATACCAGGAAAGCCTGGCTGAAGAGAAACATTTAACGGGCATCTAGAAGATGTGACAGAAGCTGCCTGACAAATTTCAGGGGAGAGGATATTCCATGGAGCAAGCACCAGTGCAAAGAACAAACAAAACAACAACAAAAAGGCAACATGTCAGAGGCCACAAGATGGCACTCTGAAGTTTTCAACACACCCAGTAGGGAAGCACTGAATTAGATTTAGCCAAGCAAATTTCCATCAGGTAGCCTATTCAGAAGTTGATTCAGTTCTTAGAGATGATAGCTAAAGGTGTTATTTACAGCCCACGTAACTCAAGAAACTCAGGGTGTTTACAGTCATTAAATAGATGTTAAAAATAAAAGATATTAAAAGAATAAAATTGTAGTGACCTCAATTTAGTAGTGGAGAGGCACAGATTTTCAGGAACAATAATTAATCATAGAGACAGTTTAATAAAAAGCCAGAATTTCAACTGGCTGCAGAAAGAAAAAAATGTTGACATCAGTCTGGCTGACTACCATAGCAGAGAAAACACTTTGAGATACTTCCATCAAGAAGCCGTGCTAACCTTAACGTTCATGTATATACATAATCATTTAGGATCTTAAACAGAGGACTCCAAACTTGGCAACTTTAAGACTTGTGGATTTCAATTTCCAGAATTCTCCAGCCAGCTATGCTGGCTGGGGAATTCTGGGAATTGAAGTCCACAAATCCCAAAGTTGCCAAGTTTGGAGATCCCTGTTCTTAAATGTCATTATTAAAAACTTGAAGTCTGACACACAATGTATAGGTAGCCATTGCAGCTCCTTTAAACCTGGTGTGACACAAAAACACAGTCTCTAAAAAAACTACATCACCTCCAGTTTGTGGGTCAAGTTTATGAGTAGCCTCCTGTAAAATCATGTGAGTAGGACATATGACTATAGTCTATTCCTATCCAAAACAATAAGTCATTTGCATCTGGTCAAATACACATATGGTTATGCAAACATTTGGACCTCAAGCATTAGGTGATCCAGAAAAATGCACGTTTAATCTTGATGGAGTGCAATCCCATCTAAAATTGGATTTTTTAAACCAAATTCTTGGAGCTGTAGGCAATCAATCCGATCAATCTACCATATCAAGGTTCAATCATAGCTTCTTTTTCTTTATCCAGTCCATTGAAGAATCCAGACATGAATCCAACAGCTTCATTGTCTCATTTGATTTTAATGTCCAAGGGAACCACTGATGGGTATTATCCACTTATTGTTGGTACCCAAATTCTTTGTATGACTTCACAGGCAACACTGTCACACTTATGTGCAGGCGTGTCACTGGTTCTCAAGTTTTCTTTTATTAGGCCTCCAAATATTTAACATTACGTACATTTTAATTTAGTACGATTGAATATTGTTTGAGTGATGATGCTGGCAACAAAAGGCAACCTTTTTCAATAATTTGATTTGACAGATCAAGATCCAAGAGATTGCCATCAAAAAGCAGCTGTGAAAAATGTTTTGCCATCACTCTATCAAAGAAGATAAGGAATTCTATATTCACATCAATTCACTGGTAGAGCATGCAGCTTTTATCGCAATATTTGTGTAAAATGCTTTAGGACAGAGCTCAGTTATCTGATATCAAACTTCTAAAGGTCTACCTCACATACTTACAGTAACTGGTGGATGGACTTGAAGTTTGATAAGTGAGACACATAGATTTTTCAGTTGTACTGCCTAGTCTCATGATGGCGAACCTATGGCACATGTGCCACAGGTGGCACACAGAGTCCTCTCTCCAGGCACGTGAGTTGTCACCCCAGCTCAGCTCTACCACGCATGCATGTGCACCTCCCACCGGCCAGTTGGTCTTCAGGTCTCTGCTGCGCATGTGGGGGGGCGGGGTGCATGTACGGGGCGGGACATATACATGGGGTGCGCATGCATGTGTGGGGTGAGTGCATGCGTAGGAGATGCATGTGCATGCACAGGGATGTGTGTGCATATGTGGGGTGCATGCACGGGGCAGGGCACATGCGCAGGGACGTGCGCGCGCTGCATTTTGGGGATATGCATGCGCACTTTAGGCACTCAGTGCCGAAAAGGTTAGCCATCACTGGCCTAGTCTATGGAATAAGAAACTGTAACATGGGTCAGCATGATGTGATTCTCTACTGTTGTCAGAAGAAAGTGCCACTCACTATTAGCCTTACTGGATATTGAGTTAATGGAAGATGGAATTTAGTTATGTATGAACATATGAATTATACCCTGATAAGCCATGAAGAAAAAGATGGAGCTTTAGAGACATACATGGCCAAACATGATTGTTATGTGTCACTTGTCTGTAGCAGGGATTGGGAAGTGCACACTGCAAGACGATGGTTCATAGAAGTACGCTCACCTGTTCATGGAGGTAATAATTGAAAGCAATCAAGAAGAAATAGCATTCAAGCCTCTGTAGCATCTTCTGAAGGAAACACTCTTTGGTGCTGTTCTTCTACAACGCAAACAGAGGAAACAATCCAGGTAATAATAGCATAAGGCTTATGGAATTGCTAAACTGAAAATATACACTTTTCAGCATCTAACTTATTCCAGTGAATCAACTATATTTATGCATATATTGAGAGAGAGAGAGAGAGTTGCAAACAAATTTGTAAATTTGCCTCTCAATGTAAATTATTACTTAAAACTATGCTACAACTAACACGCCCTATCTTTGAAAAAAATAATTTAGGAATATCAATCAAGCAGTACTCAAATCACGACATTACACACATATATATATCTATGATTTAAAAATTAAAAAATAATAAGCAAGCCCCCCAAAAAATACAGCTTAAGTTTTATTTCTAGAAAATCTAACTGAGCCTCCATGATCTCAGGAAAAGAAAATACCAAGGGGAGTACAACATATTTTGGTCTAAGGAGTTGCCACCAAATCGGTATATGGTTATGTCACTTGCGACAGGCATCTTGTGAATAAATGAATCTTTCAGTGGCCGTTTTTTGAAGATTCCAAACAAGATTGGGGATTCATGTTTAAGACCATGATTTTCTAATGCAGACATCTGCCAAAGACCTCTATTCTTTGCGTAACTCAACTTTGGAAAGCACCATTTTCCTTCCAAGAAACAGTGATAGCAGAATCATGGTCTCCATTATCCACTGCAAACTGTATCCTCCTGTCAATTTCTGTGACATAAGCTAAGCTCAGCAATTATGTTCTATTAATACCATACCATGAATTTCAAAACTGTGTGACAATTTAGATAAAATAATCCTGGTCTACCTCTAGTTTTTTTAAAAAAAAATTACATTGGTTCTGTATGGGTCTTTATGGACAAAACAGACCTTGAACAAACACAGAAAGGTTTCACGTGGTTTTGAAAGAGAGAGAATTTGACAAGGATCCATTGGAATCTTAAATTATATAATTGCCTTTAATTACTATTTACTTGTTATCCTCCAAGAAAAATCCACCCTGAAGTCATTTATCAAAAAGATTTAAGAAATGTACTTAGAAATATTTCCCTTCACAGGCTATTTCCATCCACATGTTAAAATAAATGATAGTGATGGCAGAAATCCAACTATCTCACTGCTCTCAAATGCAGAGATCTGCAACAGAGTTTTATAAATAGTGCTTATGTTTTATGGTTTTCCTTGAAAGGATATTTACTGAGATCTTATCGTATGTTTAGATATTACTATTACTTTACTTTATTGTCATTGTACCTCATACAACGAAATTAAATGCCATCTTCAGTGTATATTATACATAAGAAAACTACAAAAATAAAACAAAAACAAACATCCTTCACATTCTATGCAATTGAATTGAAAAGATATGAATAAATTATATATTTTATAAAGCCTGCTTTTATTTATTAAAGAAAGACTGCATTAGGTATACATCAAATCTCCATAACCTGTACAACCTATCACATAAAGATAGCATAACAATAAATTGTGGGGGATGTGCCAGGCATTGGATATTTTGCTCCAATTTTTGCAGTCCCAGAAAGTAACAAAAACAAGAATTCTGCCAGTCCTCATTTGGCTTAGAGACTTGCCATGTGTCACAGATATATATGTTCTGCTGCTTTCCACAAAGATGACATTGTTTGAGAAGAGCTGTTGCTCTGCTTGAGTTTCATATAAACATTAACTGTGTTTATAAGTAAAGTGACTTGCAAAGGGTGATCTTTTAGAGCTGGTGAAGATATACACTACATGCTGTGAGGACAACCTGAAAATCACTTCAAGAGAAAAAGCTAAATTATTCTCACAAAACCACTGCTCAGAACAGAATGGATCTGATTTAAGTCAAGCCAATTTAAATCATGACTGAATCATGATTTGAATTGAATTGGCATCCTTCAGTCTCAAGAGACTATAGTATCGTGCTATGAAACCGATAACTGCCGCTTCCCGTGTTGTTTC